TTTCCTTTTTCAGTTCTGAAAGAGTTTTCCTTAATTGTAATAATTTGGCAAAATTTTCCGAAATATGTTTTTCTAAATGTTTATTGGAGAGCTGTTCTCTAGAACTTTCGTTTTCCTCCAGTTTAGCATGACTGAGAGTAGTTGCATTGGTGTACATTGAAGCAGGTGATCTCCACTTTCTCCTATCATCCATAACTGCAATGAGTATATGAACAATAATAAATCCAAAATAAAACAATATATACAAACTTACAATGGAGAATGTGATAATGAGATACTTGTTGAACCTGAAACAATTACCAGCATACAAACAGCACACCTGAGACCAAAAGTTGCTAGGCTTAAGTGAGACTAATTAACAGTGCATTAAAAGTTCCTGAAATATAATCAGTTCACTGCAATAATATCAAGTGAATAAAATTGCTAAGCCAATGTGAAACAAGTCCCAGTGCATTAAAAGCTCCTGGATTTGACCAGTTCACAACAACAATTGAAAAGCAGTGTGAAACACACCTGGAATTTCAACTTGGTCCCAATAAACCAGAGAAATGTGAGTTAAAAAGGGTAAAAATGGTTGAACAGTTCACAAGAAATTCACAAGGCGTGTACTCAAGTGTAAGAAACAGAGTTGCCGGCTAGCCTCACGTGAATGTATGAGCTTCTAAGATGATAACAGCTCACCTGTGATACAGTTGAGTGAAGATACAGTTGAGTGAATTTGTCAAGGAGAACGAATACGGCTAGTATGTGGTGATATTATTTTCAAAAACTTGTCAAGATTTCTTTATTTACCCTAAACGGATTCCTTATGGGCCCTTGCAAACTAAACTTCATTGAAATGAATTCAGTTACCTGATGCACCTGCCCCTCCCTTAAAAAAAAACAAAGAAATTTCTGACCTCAAGTTTTTGAACTTCCCGCGTAATTTCTTAGGATCCTTGTCGCCAATAAAGTGTTTATGCGAGCTATCTGTCTTCCGTTCGAGGCTCGTGTGTCCTCTCCTCGCACCGAGTGTCCTTATTTAGCTCTGCTCTACGTCGCCAGATCCGCTCTCCGTATTCACAGGTCGAAGCTCCTTGTGTAACTGTGTGGGTATATACAGTAGTCGTAGAAAGGTGTGTAGGCGAGTCCGCACCCTCTCGCGTCGAGGCTCGAACTGCACTTAGTCTAAAAAAATACTGCACTCCCGCCAGGTGGTGTAGGCTTGTCTCCGTAGTTCGGGGAGTGCTTCCGGCACAATCACAACAATATTTATGTGAATTGAAATTGTTTTTTTTTTATTTTAATTTTTGTAATTTAAATTAATTTGTTAATTGATTAAAACCATTCTGTCAAACTGATAAATGCTCATATTGTGGAGATGTTATTTTCAGAAAAGAGGAGTAAGAGGCTAACATGTAGAAAAAAATACAAAATAGAAAGAAAGGTAAAGTAAACTGATTACAACTTTTTGAGGTGACAGTCAGATTTGGTAGTGTATTTAAAATGCTAACTAGACTTTCATATTTGTAGCAACATTGATTATTTGAAATACAGTAAACTCATTTAAATCACTGATGCCAAATTGCACTGAATTTAGGTTCAGTGCTAAACATGTGGTGTGTAAAACTATGATTTCTTTTCATACATGTAGCTATATTGATACTGATCAAAATTAATAACATTGGAACCATGCTTCATTTTTTGTAATGTTATGTTTGTTTACTTGTTTATTAAAAGACAAATTTTCCAGGTTAGAGAACACAACAGAAAGAAGAAAAAAGAAGCAAAGAACAATCCCAACAATAAATGTAGGTTCATGCTTTTGTCATTAACAGTTGTCAGTAAACATGAAGATAACAACCATAATAATAATTAGATAATAAATCATTTAGTACACACAGTATGTGTTGCAATCAACATGTCAGTCACAAGTTTTATATCTTGATTTATCATATTTTTATGCCAGAGATTGATAAAATAAGCAAAAGTTTGGTTGGTTTTTTAGTCCACACAATGCATGTGTTTTTCAGCTAAAAGAAAAGATGTGGCTGTCCCAAACAGTTTACCTTTTAAAGAAGAAATTTTGAAAGAAGCTGAAGACAGAAAGAGAAGGGTATTACAATGCATAAGTTCATATATTTCATAGAGTGATTGACGGATCTTGAAATTACTGGAATTTACTTTCCTTGCCCTCATTAGTTTGCCAGTATTTTTGACCCACTCTCCTCTAAATCCTATAAAATTTTTCTTGATTATGTGCTAATTCATGGGACTTGGGGCTATCTCCAATGGCTCCCATTGTAATATGTCAGAATAAGAATAGCATTAACTTAATGAACCTGAGGTCGAGGGTACTTGGTGGGATTGTCGAAAGCACATTGAAAATTCAAGGTAATGAATTATTTTACAGTTAGAAGAAGAACAGCAACGTCTGAAAGACAAGAGGAAAAAAGACAGACAAAAGATCCTGGATAAAAAGAGAAATTTAGCAAGTTTTGCTCAAGATGCACAGAAAAGAACAGCGGAATATGAGAGAAAGGTGCAAACATTGTTTACAGGCATTTCTTGTGTCATGAAAATAATGCTATCTATTTATTAAAACTGTGTCGTTTTTCGTTGTGGATGTCATTATTCTTAAATCATTATTCTTTAGTAAAATATTTTGTAGCAATCTTTGGTTTCTCTTTTAAATCTGTGCAAACCAAGTAAATGAATAATTGAATAAGCATTAAGTTTTAATCTTACTGGATTTAATATACTTTTTAGTAAATTAGAAAGTTAAAAGAAATGAAAATGATATGGAGTAATATTGTTCACATTCTAAGTACATGTACACTTCAGTTGAAGTATCACTTTGATGTGTTACTTTTAAAAATGACTTATTTCCTAGAATGCTCTGTGTGGGGAGGGGTCGTCCTTGGCTTTGACTGGAGGAAAATCTGTGGAGTCATCTCTCAAAGCTTACTACAAGGAGTTTAAAAAGGTAAGAACAGTGCTGGTAAAATATTAGTCTAAGACTGGTATGTATAGATTTCTGTTGCCATTGGCTCTTTGTCACGTTTTTTTGTTTAGTTAATAAACTGTATTTTATTTCAGAAAAAATTTTTAAAAAAATTAATATTATAATAATAGCAAATTTGATATTTTTTCTCTTAGTTAAAATGTATCATTATTAGTTTTTGAAGAAAAATTCCACATGCTAGCCTTTTATTCCAGTGTTCAAACTACAGCAATGTAATGAAGTGTTATGAAAAAGGATTTCCATGGTCTCTAGATAAGATAAAACAAGCTACTAGTAAATAATGAGAGCAATGTACTTTGATATCCAGATGATCAAGCTGGTGGATCCAACTTAGTACATGGATCTTGTCTCTACAAGTCTTCATCAGAAATAAAAATGAAATTAGAACTATTTATCCCTGTGTCATCAGGTATTTTATAATAAAGATGTAGTTAGAAAGCTCTGTGTCTGAAGGTGTTTCATAATAAAGGTGCCATTAGACCCATTTATTTCTGTGTTTGCAGGTGATTGAGGCGGCAGACGTCATTTTGGAGGTGCTGGATGCCAGGGACCCTGTGGGAAGTCGCTGCCCCCAGGTGGAGCAAGCAGTAATCAACGCAGGGACAAACAAGAAACTGGTGCTAGTCCTCAACAAAATTGGTAAATTTGATTTACATTTGATAAAAGTGAAGTGGAACGGACAAATTGTGGTTAATCAACTCTTAAAATTGCTAGAGAGAAGCGAATGAGGGTGAGAAGCTATGTCAGGTAATTTGTTGGGAAAAGATTCATTGTTTTTAATAGAGTTACATTAGCAAGAGTCACTTACTGTTTTCTTTGTTCTGATACCAATTGCTATATTGTATGGTAATGCATTTGGTGTATATTGTTATAAACACTTTATTACAATTTTTACCAGATCTTGTTCCAAAAGAGAATGTTGAAAAGTGGCTGACCCATTTGAGAAATGAATTACCCACTGTTGCCTTCAAAGCATCAACTCAGACACAGAAAGAAAACTTGGTGGGTAACTAGTGTACTGAGAAATGGTTTTATCAGAATTATAAGCAGTTGCATTGAAATATAGTTTGATTTCATGATGATTAGATCTTTAGTTTTCTTAGTATTTTGTTGACTGTTTTGTCTAGATCTCATCTAGACTTGTTCATATCGGTTCTTGTTAATCTCTATTAACTCTGGTGTAGCATATTATTTTCATACTGGAATGGATCACATATGCTTTGCATAAAATGATTTAATATTTGTTAGTAAAAAAATACTTATAAAAATCATCAGTTCTGCATGAATTTTTGCTCAAATTTGTAACAGCACAGAAATTGGCATTTAAGCAAATTTAAGTAAATCACCAGAAACAATGTCTTAAGTTAGGAGTCCAGATTGCCTTGAGAAGCCATTGATGGAGGCCAGTTTTGACATTTAACTTGATTTTAACTAACTTTCGTAATCACATCAGATATTCATTGATATGACCTGTTAATCAATTTATTTTGACCACAATTATACAGGGGCAGAGTCGAGGCTCACTTCAAAAGACGACAGAAGATCTGCTGAAGTCAAGTCGCTGTGTAGGAGCAGACGCTCTCCTCAAGTTGCTGGGCAACTATTGTAGAAACCAAGATATCAGGACAGCTATTACTGTGGGGATTGTGGGTAAGGGGAGGAAAACTTGACATGTGTTTGGAAGAAATTACTAGACAATGAAATCAAGTTGAAATCGAACCAGGCCAGATCAGATCTTTGTTTCTAATTTACAGAACATGAAATAATTCTCGTGTGATTGAAGCTCATTATATCCCAAATGAGGTAAATATTACTCACAGAAATGCATTTACTTGAAAAACAATGTGTTAGGTGTGACATGTTGTCACAATTGTCTCCTCCAGGGTTTCCTAACACTGGCAAGAGCAGTATCATCAACAGTCTGAAGAGGTGTAAAGCGTGTGGTGTAGGTGCCACTCCTGGTTTCACCAAGTGAGTAGAAATCATGGACGAACCATTTCTATTTTATTTATGTCTACTTCAGGACATTGTACTTATTCACTCACTACTTAAGAGAATAAGGAATATGCCTTAATTAGTCACCAGTAATTTTTTTCAAACAGATAAAAAATGTGACTCTTGGCAATACGCATATGTCTCTTGCTCTTAACAAATGCAACCCAATACTCATTACTCCGTTGAAAAAATAATTTCCTTGCCATTTGATGAGATTGAAGATACACAAACATTTGAATTTAAGAAAACATTGCTTTAAATTTATGAGAAATCAAGGAAGACAATTTAATGCTCTCATAAGTTTGCATTATAGGTAAAGAAAAAAACTCAAATTTTGAATTTAAGTAAATTTGGTAATTGGCTTAGTGACTTCATAACAGAAAATTCTTCTCTCCTGCAGGACCATGCAAGAAGTCCATCTTGATAAACACATCAAACTGCTGGACAGTCCAGGTATTGTCATGGCAACGGGATCCTCGGACGCTTCAGTAATTCTAAGGAATTGTGTGAAGGTAGGAATAACCTGGAGTCACTTTACTCTTTTAACATTACACAGCTGATGGAATTCTTCCCTCACTTTCATATATTATAAGTGAGTTATTTCTTTTGTGTGCCTAATCCAGCTGGTGGTACATGCCCAGGAGGTGGTATCACATCTCTGATCTTCTAGTTTACAAGAGTTATGTAAATGTTTCAGATTGAGACTCTCCCTGACCCCATTTCTCCAGTAGAGGCCATCATGCGGAGATGTAGCAAGCAGCAGGTGAGTAGAGAAATAATGTCCAGTGAGAGAAAATGGGACCTGCTGCTCTTCTTCACGTAGGGGTCCCCTTTCCTTTCACTGGGCACTATTCTTGGTAGTCCCCTCAGGCCTGTGCCCTATTTGTTACTTCGCCTATTTGTTACTTTACCCCCTACACACGTATACTGGCAGTGGCTGAAAGTTATTTTAAATTAGCTGATTCAAGAAGGTGAACAAAAAAATTAGAAATTACTTCAAACGTGAAATAAAAATTAATTTGGCTTGAAAGGTATTCAGAACCAATACCATGAATGGACAAATTGCTTTTAAGATACATATTCTGATATGCAGATGTCAAATTAGTTTTATGTGATATACAAGTTTGCATATCCAGCAATCAGATTAAGATAATTGAAATGCACCTGGCTGATCTTTTATGATAAATGGACCAATTTCTTGGATGTTTTATCTCTCAGTTGATGCTCCACTACAATGTCCCAGACTACAAGGACGTTCAGGAGTTTCTGTCTCTGCTGGCCACCAAGATGGGCAGATTGAAGAAGGGAGGAGTGCCAGATGTGGACAAGGCAGCGAAGACAGTGTTACAGGATTGGACCAGGTGAAGCGGGGGTAGTGTTAGCAATATAAGGGGATGTGTTAAAATAGAAAGCAAGGGGATTGAGTGAGGGACTGTTCACAATCAGATTAATAGACTAGCACACCTCCTTTTGTTTCCAGGTCACTCGTATAATCACCAGCCTTTCTGTATTCTGTTTAAGGCCAGGAAAAAATGTGTTAGTTTATTGCATTTAGCGAGAGTCCCTGTGGAATAAGTGCACATTAGCTAGTTCGACATATTTCATTGTCAACAGTTCCTAAAACAAGACTCAGCACTGAGGTTGATGAGTTTTCTCTGAATCTATAAAAATATTTGACCCAACATGAAATAGAAATATCATCTTTGCCACATGACTCTTTTTTCAGCTTGAGAAGAAGGGCCCCAGATGAATAATTAAGATAAAAGAAGAAAAAATAATTATGGAATTTACTTAGTATAAGATATATGTTGACTATTTCAGTGGCAAGATAACGTACTACACCCACCCTCCAGAGCAGCACTCTCTCCCTGTCCACCTTGACGCCGCCATAGTGACCCAGCTGAGCGCCGCCTTCGATGTCGAGAGCCTGATGAAGGAAGACGAGGACACACTGAGAGGTTGTGAATGATTTCTTCATTGTTCTTTCTTTTTTTTTTAACCAGGATAGTGCACTCAAAACCTTTTCTTTCTTTTTGGAATTTGAGAAATTTGTTTATTTTTGGAGTAGAAGAAGATAATTGTTTTTGTTTACCACTATATTACAGTTCATTGAATAACTCTTTTTGACATCTCTTAAATTTCAACAGTTACGTAGTGGAGTATTTTATATCAATAGACAAGATGGCCTGAAGATGTTTAAGGAGTTATCATGAAAGAAAATGCGATATAGACTCCATGCAACTTCACTCAATTCACAACAATTGTCAGTCTTAAGTGTATACGGTCTGCAGCATATAAACTGCCCCCACGCTATATGCCAGTAAAATTTTGTAAATTTGCCCAGTTACTGGTCACTATTTCTGCTTTGTGCTAGTCAGTTTTTGGCACTGGAGGACCAGTACACAATAAATATTTTGGCACAGATTTTGTATGTTTTTCCACACCAATAATATCCCAGTGGTCATGATTCATATCTCCGTATTTTTGCCCTGCCAGATCTGAAGAGTGTGAGTAGTATGGATATTGTGGTAGAGTCAGCTGGACCCACAGACGGAATTGTCACAGTGGAGGAAGAGGAGGCAGAGAAGATGGAGGAAGAAGAAGAAGAAACTGAAGAGGTAGGCATGTTGTTTTGTTTTCTCCCTTGTTCTTTGATATTCCATTTTACATTTTATTTATTTATTTATTTATTTGATAAAATGGCTTATTACTTTGGAAAATAACAGTCCTGTATTATACCAAAAAGACATTTTTGATTTGGTTCTTTATCTCACTTAAAGGAACTGATACATTGTTATCTGCAAAAGTGACTGTGGTACTGTAATGTTTTGGAGTAGCGAGGGTTGTAAAGAGAAAAAAATTATACATTGCTTAACAGAATGCTTCCTTATTAATAAGTGATAGACTAATTTTACATGAGGTTTTCAATGTCAATCTATCAGTTATTACATAAGAAACAACCTCTCTCTAATATTTAGTGTATTGACTGACAGAGTAAGTGTAATATTTACACAAGTGATTGGAATGGACAGAATGTTTGCTCTACTGCCTCGTGAATTGATTATTTCAGTAGGTTTTGACAGCTGCCTTAGAGACACTGTTGGGAAAATTCACTTGAATTAACTAGAATTTAACAAGAAGCAGTTTCTTTAAAATGCACACTTCTTACTTGGTAAATAGGAATGACTGACATCATTGCTGCATTTGAAATTAGTTGACCCATCGAGGTACAACTCTTTTCTGCTGGAGGTCAGATCAAGCTTAACCAGCTATAATTAGCAGAAGACACAATTCCTGTGCAACCCCCCCCCCCCCCCCCCACTAGCTAGTCCACACAAACTCATTTTGAACAGCTCCTTAGTGTTTAAACAGCTGGGAATTTAGCCACTGTCTTCTGCAAAGAGGACCTGTTTATTGCAGATATGAATTTCACCGTGTAGGGGCTCGTCTTTTCACAATGTCACAAAGAGATGACACACAGTTCTGTGAGACAGAGCAAGTTGATTCTGGTTATTTTATGAGAAAATGTTTTTTTAAGCACCACAGGATTTATAATAATATTATATAATATATTCTCATAACTCTTTGATGGACAAGTTAATGTGTAAAGTATTTAATGTGACTTAAACGTTATAATCATTGAAGCTACAAAGAAATAATGGTTGGCACAATATTATAGATGAGAAAAGTGTAATGAAATCTTACAAACCTTCCTTTAAAAGTTATAGAACTGTGGTTTTTCTAAGCATTTTAGAACTAGACATGTATTTGCTTAGGATATGAAGGATTTACTTTGGATCTGTAATGAATATAAAAATATAAAAACAACATCATTATGCATATCAAAAATGCCCTTGCTCATCTAATTTACTCATGTGAGACACAACATTGTGGACATCACTTACAGCGTCTATTTTCTGTTTTAATTTCTTTTTGGTATAGTAACCATCTATGTCAGCCCCTCCAAAGATTTCATTCATGGGGTTTCTGCTTACCCTACCACTGGAGTAGTGACTATAGTCTGGTTTTGTTGGCTTTGTGGAAAAGTAAGAGAATCCCACAGTTGGTGTTGTCCTGGTTGCTAGGAGCCATGGTTCCCGTGGTAACTGTGTTGCCCTGGCAATAGACAAAGTCTCCACGTAGGCATCCCTGTGGATTGTGTTTAGGAGTTTTTGTCGCTTTTTGTCTAAATATTTGTGTAGCCTGTGTCCATTTTGTATAGCAGGAAGAATGGGACTAGATTTAGAATTTTTGTGACTGCCTTGATTGTCGCTGAGATCATTTGGACTCAGCCTAATGTTTGACGTGAAATCCTCCATTTTTTGTCTGTCCTCTCTCTCAAGATCCTCACTAAGAACTGGGGAGTCCACCAGACCAAACCTGTTGTACCACAGACTGTCCTTTTCTAGATCATACTCACTGTCCACTGGGGAGGGGACACGTGGTGCCCTCTCTGACCTCTGTGCTCTACCTCTGTCCTTTATCCTGTCCTGCGATGGAGTTTCTGCGAGGTCACTCTCTTGGTCAGTCCACTTCCATCCCCCACATCCTGGACATTGCTGACCTAATGGGACACTGGACGAGGCAGGGTCACACTCACAGGGGTCAACACTGACCGTGTCTTCATTATCATGGTGACTGCCTAAAGTTAAGGAAAGCAAACTCTCAGGTCTGCTGGTGCTGGGAACAGAATTGTCTTCTTTTGTGAGTGAAGATTGTTTTAGAATGCCCGTGGCTGGCGAAAGTTTTACGTGTAACGGCTCCTTTCTGTTGGGTGGATCGATGGATGAGCGGGGTCCTATTGGCGGCAGTGCGATGTTAGAAACTTTCTTCTTTTTTGTCACCACACCAGCTGTGGTTTTAACTTCATTTTTGTCCGTAAATGTGACCCTCTTGATGGGTTCCTTCCCTCTAAGTTGTGTGGTGTGGACCCCGCTGTTTTTCCTCTGTTGATTAGGCAAAGATTTCCCACTGACACTAGCTGTCGTGTCAGTATAGAGATACAGCTGCTGGGGGGACATAGCTCCGCTTTTTATTCCAGAATTACATCATTTTTAGAAGTATGGTAGCAAAAACTGTTCCTGACTCCATGTTTCATGTATTCCATGTTTCATATTTTTGCTTTCAATTCTGTCAAAGAGCAAAATTTTTAATGTGCTATTTTCTCCAGTGCTATTTTCTCTTGAAATCCTTCTTCGTGCTAAATCTTATGCTCATGTTATGAAAAATATTACTGGATCATTTTCATTTAAATCCTTGTTGAATAGATGCCTGTCATGGATTCCTGCTTAACGAGCCCAATTGATCCTGTCAACACCATTTGTCTCCAATTAATATACTGAATAGTGACAGATGACAACTTGAATTTTGTGTACAATGTTACAGTAATCAATCCTTGCTGTTTGCAGTAACATCCAAATAAATGATTGAAGATGGCGCTGTGCAATTTATCAATCAACTGTCCCTTCTGAGTGGCCTCCAAATGTGATTGATGGGAACTGTTTCCTATTCCGCTTTGGTCATTGATTTGTCTGTCTCTCAAAATCGTCAGGTCCTTGGGTTCATCTAGTACTCCATTAGCAGCTTTAAGTATTTTCTGATGTAGCTCTTTTTAATCTATTTGCTCACTGTCAGGGTTCTCAGCAGAGAGAAGTAACTAGGGTTCCATATTGCCTGCACCTGTTCAACAGCAACAAGATCAGAACAGTTTTGGTATTGTGCGTCTAAAAGTCTTCAATTGTGTGGAGTGTGTACTTTATGGTGTATGATGAGGCTATTCTAATGGATTGGCTCTGTGGAAATTGTTTATGTAGCTACTTAGCATAGTAAATTGACTATTTTGACTGGGCACTTTCAATAAATTGACCCGTTTTTAAATGATGTCACATTTTTTGCTTTATAATGAACAACACAGAAAAATATTTTTCTTCTGTGACATTTTGTGAACTCTTCTGTTAAAATGTTATCTTAATCTTTCTAAAATGTTTAATGTAGAGAGTGAGTCGTAGCATGTATTTGCTTTTCAGCTTATGTAATTTCTGTACTTCAGTTGTAAAAGGTTACTTTGCTAAGATCACTGATGTCATAACCTTTCATGAAATTCTTCTAAATTGTCTTGTGGTAAGAGGTTGATAGTAGGCTGTGTCTTACGTGTGCCCTAGATTTTACTTTTCTGATGAGTTTTTTTTTTCAAGTTTTTTTACTGATATATAAATATTGGATCGAATTGAAAATAAGAATAAGTTAATCGTACCTGTTTGTATTTGGGCTCCTTCCACTACCCCCAGCTCTCTTAATGGGTTAAACCACCACCATGTCATTCAATTCTGTTCTTCAGAGACCTCAGTGTCAGTGAGGAGGTCTAGACCTCAATGGCCACAGCTCCTCATTGTTCAACCAAATAATTTTTCATTAAAAATGGTGTTATAAAATTGATATGCTGATTTCTCCACAGAAGGGAAAACAAATAATAGACGTCAATTAAAAAAACATCAACCCTTTAATATTTAATGACCCTCCGTGACTATTCAGTTTATTCACCAGCAGGATTTGATTATAGAATTATTAATTAGGAACTGTCTTGGTGAAGGTTAAATAAGCAAGGGGGTGTATTGATAGTTATTGATGTGACCTCCGACCTAACCTTTGACCTGTGACCTAATCTTTAACCCCTGTCACTTAGAATTCACTGTGCCCTCTTTGTTGACAAAATTGATGTCATGCTCTTTTTTAAGCTGTTGTTTACCAGCTTTTCATGTGGACAATTTTATTTGCAGTGTTAAGTGACTGTGCTATGGTAAATTAGGCACGATACGTTCCGATGTAAAGGACTTATTAACTTAATTATTCAACCTTTAAAGATTAGGATATATTCAGTGATAGGAAACATGTTTGGGGCAGACAATTGAACTAGATGTATACCAGTTGGTCTATTAACAAGCCATTTAACCAAACTTGATCATCTTTTATCATGATATTTATGAACCTTTTCAATTGGCTAGAATTGAGCATACTATAGAAAACTAATGGGTGCACGGAGAAAAGTTTATAGGTGTTTTAGTAACCATGGATTTACTAGTACAAAAATGTCTTATTTGCCTAGATTTTCCTTTCAGAGTGTGAGTGCACCTATTTATACCTCATCTTTGATTTTTACTTGTAGTTAAAGGATGTCACGGTATCCATGGAAACAAAACCAACCAAGAAGAGCTCATCCAAGGTTACGGAGAAGAAAAAACAAAACTCTGAGAATGTCCTGAGTCTTAACCAGCAGGTAAACAGAGAAAGGAAACAAGATTTTAAGAAGATGAAGAAAAAGAGAAAGAGAGCAGGTACAGTACTGAAAATTTTTATTCAAAATACAGGACAATTTTAATTTAGTAAAAATATCCCTAAATATAAATATTACAATATAATTAAGAAGTGATATCATCAATTACAATTTTCTTAGTTGTCAGTCACATCTCGATTTTCATTTAGAGAAAGTCATCAAAGCAACTAATTTACAACAAATTGTCTCTAATTTTTTTCTGTTGTTAGAGTGAGTCTTGACCCATGCTTTGACATCATTTTCAGATGCGTTGGCTGGAGAGCTCTCCAAGGCACTTGATGGCGCTATGAGTGGACTCGGCGCTGAAGCTGATGAGGATTACGACTTCGGAACAGACTTTAAATGAGGAGAAAAAAGAGTAGAGACTTTTCAACAAAAGACGCAATCTTCAGTTATTTAAATGCATCTTTATTTTTGAAACTGAGCAAATGTAATCTATGAATTGAGACAAGGTGGCAGAACACAAAATAATTTGGAAAGACTATCATCTTAAATGCACTGGCTGTGAAGAATAAAGAAGTTTGTTCAAAAATAATTCTAATTTTTGATTTGACTGAGAAATACCAGGGCTGTCCAAAGACTTAGAATAAAATGACAAATTAGTCATAAAAAATTTCAAATGTTTTTATTTTCATCAGAATGTCAAATATTTGCATTTTCTGTGCAAGCATCATTTTTGTAGGCAACATTTAACCTTGCTGATTATAATTTTTCTTGCATAATAAATACAGTCATCTCCTAGTAGATTGTATCTCCATTTAATAGCAAGTTAAAACTTTGTCAAGGTGTTCTCGTAAAATCTTTAACTGCTGCATATATCTCTTCTGTAGAAATTGGTATAGTTCAATTCATGGTTTGAACTACCATATCAACACAGCTGGGGGTACTTGAGATATTTTATTATACCAAGCAATTAATTACATAAGGCCTCGTCACATTGAGCGGCAGTTTTCTGTATCAAGCCAGTTAGACTATCCCAGAGGGGTGCAGGGACTCTGTTGAGGCGACTCATTTACAAAATACCCTGCCTATTAAGTTGTCACTCTCAAACTGAGGCGATACAGAAAATTGCCATTCGATGTGAAAGGGGCCATAACTATTTGTACAAGCTTTTTTTTGTATTCTTTATACACTGATTGTGGCTTGAAACAAATTAGTTCACCTGCATTTTGACCTAATTACATGTCCACATCAGCCGATATAAAAAAGCATCACAAATAATATTTTGTGATAACAGTCTATAAAAACAATATATACAGATTACATGTTGTAACAAAACCAGAAGAATAGTAATTATATAACATTGCTGTGATGGAATTAAGTATTAATATAAACAAACCAAACACCACAAATGCCAAGCTGAATATAAATCCTCAATCCATGGTGTATAAAACAAGTAAAAACCCCTTTACACTGGACGGCATCCTTTCTGCATCCTGTAATATGGCCCCGTTTGAGAGTTAAAAAAAAAAACTTTACGTGCCGACAACTGGCCAATCACTGAGCATTCATTCTGCAAACAAAGCGATGCTTGTGCCTCCTTTCTACGATCACAGCGATACCAGTTTCATGGTCATACAAAAGACGCAGAAAGAATACCGTCCAGTGTAATGGGGGCTTAAGGGAAAGTTATCTCACTCAAGAACAAATTGCACAGTTGAACATGTGTTGATAAATAACAAATTTTCCATACGAAGACTGTCATTGGGCAGTACATCCAACTGGATCAGCTTCATTTATTTTTTTACAAATCATTCAATTTGAATTACAACAGTAGAAAATCACACCACTCAGCTGCTCGCATTTGACAAGCTGAGTGTAAATTTCTCCAAAAAAATTTGTTGATCTGTTGAGACTATGAGACTAAAATTGTGCAAGAATATCCTACTCCAAGCCACCGAGATGCAGGATCCTGTTACATTAGTGGTGAAATTTTTATCACACCACTCGAGTAATTTTGTTCACTTATTTTTTCTTTTTTATGGGAAAGGGCAAATATGTACAAAGGAAGCAAAGAAGCATGAATGAAAAACAAAGTAGAAAATCTAAAGACACATTAATCAGCAGGTAAATCTCTCCCAGCCCTGGCGTACATCACAGTTACAAAGTGACCCAGAGAATGAAGAGAGGGATTCAAACAGGGCCCCAGAAAACAACTTCAGTCAATGTTAGTCAAAACTCAAGAAGGAAATTTCTTGGTCTTTTCGCTCAGGATAAGTCTGTCATAGTCCATTTTAAAGGGCCTGTTTTACAAAAACTAAAAAAAATGCTTCAGACACGCAACTGCCATGATTTAGAGGACTACAACAAAGTTTTCTTGAATCAAAGAATTCCTTTTTGTTAAACTTTTGAGCTGTGTTCTTTTGTCAACCATTAACAGGCCCCAGAACTTCAGGGAGGAAGAATGCACTTTTGGATTTCCTTTATCATAAAAAACATCCATCTTCATCCAGCAACCTTTCAACATGCATATTGTCTTGAGGTTTCTTTTTAAATGAAGAGTGTGGATCAATGAATATGATAGCTTTTTCTGCATATGAATCTGTGGCCACCCATTACAAACATATTACTTTGCTATAACCTGGCAGTTATATAATTTTGATCACCGAGACTACTGTTTAACTTCATCTATACAATTTTGTTCAACAACCTTATTGTCTCTGTTCATGTCAACAATCAAGAAATTTTTGGACAATTTGAAAACATCAGCAGCCAAATAAAAACTACTTAAAATTATGAGCGAGGTGCTTGCCAATCTGCCTAATTTATATAATATTTATTATTTCTACATTATCTAAATGCCACTTTTCTATATATATTACCTACTGCATTATTGGTGGAGGTTCCACTGTCAATATGCTGACTCAGCCATTCTTTATACTTATGTCTAGACCTTTGTACGTCACTGCTAATATCACTGTTGTCCCTATATATGTATATGATACTAACTACTGTTACTGTATTTGTTATTGTCCACACATGTAGCATATATCTCGTTGCTGAACTAGGAGAAAGAAACCCGTTTTCTTATTTCTTTGAGGGCCCTGGAAGGAAGGGGGTGTCAGACTTAAATCCCACACCCCCCTGTTCAGACGAGACTTTTTGCAAGGTATGAATGCTTAAAGTTAACAAGGTTTTGAATTATCATCCAAAGAAATGAGTCCAGGAATTCGACTTTACACATTTTCATTCCTCCACTTACAGAAGAGCATCTGTTGTGTTCAAAGCCGGATTAATTCTTGTCGTACAGTACAAAGGCAGCTGAAAGACCTGTAGAGGGCACTCTTCAACAAAAGCACTTTTTGCGGTATTTTGTCTCTCTCTCTGTCTCGCTGAGTCCATGAACAAAGACAAACAGGGGAAGTATTCTTACATACACATTTCTTGCTGTTCATCTAAGTGCTTAGGCTCAAAGTTTGTCACTTCTTCATATATTAGCCCTGAAACAAAATGGGATGGAAACACTATTATTTATCTTTTTTTCTAAACCAGATTGACAAAACAGGACGTAATTCATATTGTGCAAAAGGGGAAGTTGTAGTATATCAACCAAAATAAATTTTCATTGTCTTTTTTTTTTTTTTTTTTTTTGCAAAAATTCTTTTCAACATGTTAACCTCTCACTGAAAATAATAATTATAACTGTCACACGAAAAAGGACATTCCTTGGACAGCATATTTATAAACAACTTGAATTATCCTCAAGCAAAACAAGGGTCATCTCAGTCTACAAACCCCAAATGTTCCCCTTTCGGAATTCTGTTACACCCTCCGTGCTATCCATAATGACGCTGATAATCAAAACAATGAAAATAATAGAAGTAAAAATATCCATTTAAAAAAAATCAAATTCATACAGGAGTATTTGCTTACTTTTCCAGACTGGGATATCATACTCCTTGTCCTCAAAGGACTGGTCGTAGGGCTCAGATTCTGGTTCGTCCGAGGGGTCTGCATATTGTTTGAGGTAAGGGTGGCCCAGCGCCTGTTTTGCAGTGTACCGAGTGTCAGCATCAAGGTCCAGCATCCTCTCCAGGAGGTCCACAGCTGCACAGGACAAAGTGACAGTTATAATCAATCCAGTTATATTATACTTAGATAATGAAAATATTTATTCTAATACTAGATCTTACGTTGAAACGGAAAGCACCATGTGACAACTTAAAATCAGTTCACCCAATGAAGGCCTTTATTTAAGGTCAAAAAGCCACTATCTCAAATTTCAATGTAAGTAGAGTATAAGATTTTTCTTCATTATTTTAGCTTAGATAACAGTTCCAAGATAAGTCAGCCACTATATGCCATATACAACAATGTAATTATTGAGCTGGGAATCATTGCTGAACTTTTACCACAAAGTAAAAGTTAATCAAATATATGTTACGCGCTAGAAATTTAAAACCAACTTGAGCAAAACAATTACAGATACACTACATGTCATAAGCAAGAACATCACAAGGATGGTTGGATTACCTAATGGATTGGCTTGTAAGAAGCACTGTTTGAACTCTCTTTTTGGCGTAGTTGGCAGTGACTTAATATACCTTCGTGCCTGAAAGAAACACAAGAAAAACATCACCAACTCACAAATTAAAGCACAAATTTTACTTACCTGTGATGCAAAGCTTTAATTCAAGTTAGAGGTCAACTACAGGTGCAAAATAAGAACTAAGACTTTATGTAGAAGACTAATGTCTTTATGTCGAAGACTAAAAGTTTATGTAGAAGAAGGTTATTTTTCCTGGAGATTTTCTCTGAACTACAAGGTATACCATATAAAAACCAGTTTTTGAGTTCAAAATTTTCTGGTTTCATGTCTCTACTAACAAAGATAAAAACAGGTGAATATCTTTCGAGATGGCAAAAATGTGAAATTTTGAATATGAAAACATTATTCAGGGATGTCCTTAGAATAAGAAGACCTACGAAGAAAAATATCTGATGAACAAAAAGACATCCACTCACCTCGTCACTGGTTATCTTGGCCAGCAGACGGTCATCTGGTGTCCCCACTAAACTCATTATCCTAGTCAACTGGTCAATATCTGGACAGCAGTCAAGGAACTTGAACAACTTAGACATGAATACTTTGATAAACTTGGTGTTCAAAAGCATATTTACAAGTAGCGAAAAGTGTAGGACTTGTCGTGAAAAGGGCCACAGCTGTCTGAAGCACAGTTGGCTCTCCCAGCACACCTCTGACAGCATCATGCCTGGTTCATTAATCTGGTTTATCTGATGACGAAAGTTGGACCGATTTCTGGTCTCAAAAGTATCAACTGTCGATCCAAGTCTTATCATGTCTGAACTGACCTTGACTCCAAAATGTCCTAAGCATAACTGATTACTATTCAATCAACCAAGAGTGAGAAAGCTTGTACAGTTAGAAGAAAGTTTGTATAGATAGAAGAAAGCTGATACAGGTATTGGAAAGCTGGTACAGATACAAGAAAGCTGCAACAGGTAGCAGAAGGCTGGAGCAGGTAGCTGACAGCTGGTATAGGAAGTAGAAAGCTGGTACAGATGGAAGAAAGCCGATACAGGTGGTAGAAAGCGGGTGACAGAAGCAACATTGAAACTACAGCTTGTGTAGAGGCAACATGCATGTGATCATATAGCTTTACAAACATCCAAACAAAACAACGGCCTGCCTGCCTGCCTCCTCTCTCTCTCTCTCCCATGCAGGCATATCTATATAGCTGCACATAAAGGACACATACAACACAGACAAATCAACAACTAAATTAAAACAAGCCAAAAGATACGATCTGTGCCGGGGAAGAGTGTCTTGCCAGTCATGAGTTCAGCCATTATACAGCCAACAGACCAAATGTCAACTGAAAAACAAAAAGATAAAAGCAGATTACTCCCAGTTCTGTGGCCAGTGTAACAGAAAAACTTCCCCCCGAGACCCTAAGCTGGTGTTAACTTAGGCCGCATTCAGAACAGTGGACTAACTAGTCCGAGTGCAAACTGTTGCTGCAAACATGCTGCAAATTTGCAAGAAGAAATTTACTATGCAAATGAGGTACTGTCTTCAATATGAATGGATTTGAAGACTTCTTGCAAACTCGTAGCAAACTTTAAATGCTATTGCCAATTTGCAGGAATTTGTAGCAACAATTTTTTTCTTGCAACATTCTGCAAACTGTTTAGTTTGCAGCAGTTTTTTTTATCCTGGAAAAAAGTAATTTTAATTTTTTTAATTTCAGGTCTTTTGGCTATTCTGTGAAACTGGCTTCCAGTCAATACGTCAGACACACATGCTGTGACACATGACCCAGTGTGATCAACTTAATGGTAAACAGTTAGAGCATGCAACATGAACATTAAATTCCCAGCAATCATGTTTCCACTGACTGATACAGTGTAATTTAATGTGTGTGCCACAGACAAACAAAGCTAACCTAACTAGGCAATTAATCTAAAAACAAAAGTACATGACTGAGTTATTAATTGTTGTGTTGTGTTCTTCCCATATAAAAGGTAATCCATATATTCAAGGACACTGAAGGTCAGGCTGTAGGGATATTGTACAAGGACTTTAATAGTCTCTATTCAGTTACAGCTAGTCATAATATAAACAAACCAAATATATATACACAAAACATTATGAATTTTTTTTTTAAACTGCCAGATATTCAGACTGGTGGTCATGAAAACTTTGCCAGGCTGAAAATTCAAAACGGGGTTCTTTAAATTGTTTTCAGTCTAAACGACCAACTGAACAATTTTCTGCGGGTCCTTTAAAATCCAATTAGTCCCTGAACATTAATGAACATGACCTCATATACCTCCATAGCAAGGCAAAGCTGCAAAATATAGGTCAATATGATATTTGAAAAAAAAAAAAAAAAAAAAAACTAACATGATACAATCATACATGCAAAAAGTGGATCAGTAATAAATATTTAAGTACAACAATGTGAAGGTGAAGTAAACTAAGTCATAGCATGCAGAGCAGGTGCTCCAAGGATATGATCTAATCCTGCAAACAGAGGACGACCAGTGAGCATTTCTCCAAATATACAGCCAACAGACCAGATATCCACTGAAAGAACAGAATACACAGAGGTCAGAGGTTAAAGGTCACAGGAAGGTCAGAGGTCACCTACAGGTCAATTGAAAGTAAAAAGGTCAACCACAGGTCAAAGGTAGCCCAATTAGATAAGCTGTGTTATATGGAGCCACTGACCTACATTGCTTCCAATACATTAGTGAAATATACATTTGGCTTCAGACGAATTTTTCCACCAATAATTTTAAAATAAGAGTTTAACAAGTTAGTAATGTACAGATATGTGGTGCAAAACTTCCATAAATTTTAACTAAGCAAAAAGCAAGAATCAATATGATGTTAGACTACTATACATGCATATGCCATGAAACAGCAAACCAGACAATTCAAGTGGATTATGTTTTTAATAAGACATGCTCATTAGGCCATAGGAGGATTATTCTGGTGTTACAGTTAGATTATCCACAAGTTAGTTTTACTATATATATATATGTATATCGATCAAATCTTGGACCATGTTAACCATTCTCTTGGTGAAGAACAAATCATTTGTGAACTCAACTTAATCTAGTTCAGTTTAACAAAATGCTCAGTGATAAACTACTCTTAATATGTCAGAGATGATACAGAAATAGAAAAGGTTAGTAAGAAAAGGTTAGTTTTATATATCAAATGCATGCATAACTTGAAAGTGAAAGTAAATCCTCAAGATAAAAGTCAATCTTGTGCCTTAAATATTGTAGCTCACTGGTCATTTGGACTTGTAAACCTAAGAGGAATTATAGTCTGGGTCAATTTGAACTAATTAGAACATGAAATCTGTAGATAATGAAAAACTGATTAAAAAAAAACATCTGCTAAAATTTCCACTAATTTAATCATTTCCACTAGTTAAATCAGACTATAAGCTTGGAAAAATCTTAGATCATTCAGACCTGTGGTCCTGACACAGGTTTAAGGAAAGAACCTCAGAATTCTGCCCAATTCTCTTTTTGAGTCTTACAAAAACATAGTGGGACATAGTAAGTAAAAGGTACACATAAAATGTGTATATTTCACCTCTACAGGATATGTAACAATCTTCATACACATATTATTATTATTATCATTATTATGAAGGATACTGTCATATCCCGGGAAGAGTGGTCTTCCCATCAAGCACTCAGCCATGATGCAGCCTACAGACCAGATGTCCACAGGGTAAGTGTAGTGAGACAGTAGAACTACAAGCAAGACAAAGGCCACATGCTGAGTGGGGAACAGCCAGCACAATGTGATTGTACTGACACACCTAACACAATGTGATTGTACTGATCACCTTTCACAATGTGATTGCACAGGCACACCTAACACAATGTCAAAGTACTGGCACACCCAGCACAATGTGAGTGCACAGGTACACCTAATGCAATGTCATTGTACTGGCACACTTAACACAATATTGTGATGCAGCACACCTAACACAATATTGTGTCACAGTACAACTAACACACTGTGGCAGATGCACCCCCCACTCTCACATCCATCAATCAATTCAGGTGGTCATTCTTGTCAACATTAGTGTACCTTATTTGATACTCAGTATAAAAAACAACCAAGTCAGCACTAAAAAGTCATACAAATCCCAGCCACAGCTCCTCCATTCACTACTCGCTTTATAAACCTCAGTTTAACCAATGCAACACCAGTGCTTTGAGGCAAAATGTTTAAAAACTTTAAGTGATTGTAAAATACAAACTTACAATCTTACTCATCCACCTCACGAAGAAAAAGAACTTGTTCACATCTGCCCTCCTACCTTTTCAATCTATTACCCATGTTAGCCATAGTAATGTGCACTTTAGCCCAATTTAACATTCAGCTATCTAGGACTAACTACCATGCTCCAGTGCAATTTGAGTGAGTATGATGTTAGTTTATGGCAAACTGTTTATGCATATTCATGGTTTTAAAATTAATAAATCACAAAATGCCAATCTACACATATTTGTGCATTCTCCACACTTTACAATAAAGATTCCAATTGTTATTCTTTGACCACTGATAAATACACAGCTGTGATTCTACTGAGAAAATATACTGGAAGAAGTTCACTCTGAGTAATCCATCACAGCTCTCCCCCCCC